TTTAAATCTTTCTTAATATATTTCACTTTTCGTTGTTTCATTAAACGAGGTAAAACAAAATTCCCTTTTTTTATATAGAATATAATAATCTTATAACCGGGAGATTATTGAACAAGATTATTACAAAGTAAACGATGCTTTAAAATATGACTTTATTAAGAATTGAAAGACTCTTTCATGCATTACTTGCTATGTTAGTTTCAGCTTACTGATTTATAGTTTCATTGAGTTCTACACAATCTTTTTATTCAAGTTTAAAAGAGACAAAATGTAAGGTAGGTAAACATTTTCTCTCTGTCATTTTTCAACAAAGTTTTCCCCTCTTGAATATATTACAATCGTTAATAGAAATATATTTAAATATAAGATAGTGACGAATATATTTATAAACTATTGTTATATTTATATTACTATAATTTACTTGTACGCAAAACGGTATATATATATATATATTTATACAGTTCTTTATTAATGCCTACAAACAAAAAACTTCCAATTTGTAGCTATTCATTAATATATTATTGTATTTATATAAATATCTGAAATCTTAGGCAAATAATTGAGTAGCATTTATTATTAAGTTAATCATAAATTAAGTGATAAATTATTAATAGGTAAGCCTAATATTGTTCATTTTAAGGAAGAATCTGAGTAATTTCTTACAAAAAAAGAAGAAAAGTAAAACATAAAAATCTATCAGAATAACAAGTGAAAAGAAGCATATTGATAAAGAAGTTTCTTTACGACTGTAAATGAATTAGACATTTCAATATTTCCCATCTGGTATATAATTAATGAAGAAAAAAGTGCTTTCATGTGAATAATGTAAATTATTTAATAGTCTTGATACTCTAGAAAAAAAATTAAACTAAAAATATATTTTCCCATATACTTTTCTAGTTTGAACATAGAGTCATTTTTTGTAAAAGTTATCCTTGAATATGCAAGTTAAAAAATTAATCCTTAAGACTTGTTGACCTTGAATAATTGAATTCCAATTAAGCAATCTATATTTCTGGATATAAATTGAAATATAATCTCGCGGCTTTTCTCTTTTAATTAATAAAACTCCCTTAATAATTATGTTCGCTTTCATATCTTTCCTTTATCGCCATTTCATTTATTTTAATTTGTATATTTTGAATTCTCTTCCTTAAGAGACTAATGTGTTAATTTGATTACCTTTAAATTATGCTCTGTTCTACATATCCTATAAACAGTTTTTAAGAGAATATTCTCTATTCATTGCTTAAATATATTATCCACATCTTCCTTCATTCTCTAACACTATAAGATATTAATATTTATAATTATAATGTATTATTGTACATATGATGTTAAGTAGATTAATAATACTTTGTGATATATAATAAAAATTGACAGTTTCAATAGTTTATGCGTATCTAGACTTGAATTAGGTAAATATGAAATACACAGTACTCAATATGAACAGTATATTTATAAATATATATAATTCATGTACTGCATAACACATAATATCTAGTACTCGTGAATCGTTGTTTTCTTAAGTAAAGCTTCTCTCGTATAATAATCATTTAACAGGATGGCTTTCAATGAAATTAATATGTTTCGAAAATGTACATTTCAATAAATATATCCAAATTTTACAATTAACAACATTATTTTGATATAAAATTAAGAAAACTATCAAACCTTTATATCGAAAATCATAAACTAACATGCAACCTTCCATCTCTCGAGTTCTCTGCAACTCTCTACTCCTCTACTTCATACTTTAACGACAGAGCAAACTAAATAAATTATCATTTCTTACGACTCATCTCTGTTTGCATCGCAAACATTTATGCAAATGAGGATAGTATTCTATGTGCTACAACTATATATTTAGAATAATTTATGTTTGTTCTAGACACTTAAATTATTTTTTTTTAATTGACAAACTTTCATGTTATTATAAATTAATTGCATTAATTAGTTATGGGCACGTTGGACATCAAAGTTTTTCCTTACAAGCTTAATCAGCTAGTAATCACGTTATTGCTAAATTGGCAAGAAATATATGTGTATACTATATATATACAGCATATACTAATATATATATATATATATACATATATACATATTAATTTTAGAAGATATATTAGTAATAGTACAAAGTATAGCTTTTATTGCGATAAAAAGTTTTCTAGTATAATAGTAGAAATAGACATATAGACAGATAGAAGAGCAGATAGACACTGTGTCGTAAAGAATAAGATAGAAAAAAAAAGAAAAGAACGCAGAAGAAAAAGTGAAGACAGTGACACAGAAGTAGGCATACAGAGATAGAGAAAGAGAGAGAGAGAGAGAGAGAGAAAGAGAGAGAGGAGGAAGAGGAGGAAAACAGAGATTTTCAGCAAGGAATAGATATACAAAAATCAGCTTGCAATGGTAAGATTTACTCAATTTAAATTTTTTTTCTTCGTGGAAATCGCTATTATACAAACAACTCATAGCCAGTGCATCCTCGTGTTATTACGGATATATAACAATAAAAAACTAATATGCTAGGTACTTCACTCATGCTTCACACCTTGGGTACAGTATATTTTTTATTCCTTTTAACGTAACATAAATTTTTATCGCTTATTAATTATTTTTATTTTTTTGCTCTTTAATTTTCTACGCTTTTGTACACAAATAAAAATAATTTTAACACTGATTAATTGAAATTTCCTTTAAAACACATACAAATAAACGTACATACATATTACTGTATAATACATTCAGTATAAAAGAATAACATTTTTTTAATATTCTTCTCCATTTCTACAAATATAGAAATACTTTGATTTTAGTAAACACATTCCTCACATCACTAATTACAAGCACAACAGGTAAAAACCAGATAGGAATCTTTTTTGGAGGAAAATTTTTCCATTATAATCTACTAGAAAAATTTTCTTTCGTTGAAGATACTTTTCCTTTCTTTACCTTTAGTAAAAAGAGGAAAAAATGGCATTGTTGTAAACACAAAAAATGACTGTTCTTTTTCTATTTTCTTAATACAAAATAAATAGCTATTAAGAGTTTTTTTCAACACTATCTTCATTAATTTAATTATTAAACCTAAATAAATCACATATCTATTATGACACAAACAATTATAGATTTATCATACTTCTATCAGGAATACCTGCATCATACGTAAGAGAGCATAAATGCGCTGTATTGTTTGACACCATAGGTATATAGATTGAGAATAATCTTAGAAAGAAATTTATTGTTTCTTATTGAATGAATTGCAAAAACTATGCCATAATCACAGAAATCGCAGTATTCTTTAACAAAAAAGATGTATAAAACTGGGAAACCTTAAATGCATTTCCTCAAAGTTCAAGTTCAAGATTGTTTATTTCGTGTTTCTCTACTTCCTTATTCGTTTCACTTAGCACGTTCTTAATAATTCCCTTTGTACAAAATATTTAAACAAACATATATATAACTATATATACAGTATATATAGTATAGATATATATATATATATTTATGTATAACACTTACTATGTATATAGCCTAGTTTCTCACTCTCTGACGTATACAGATGCCTATATACTTTATAATGTTTACATCAAACTTTAACGAACTCTTAAGGTTTAGCTATTAGCAACATCGTTTTTTAAAGGTTATTTAATCGATAGAAGGCGAATTATCACCTATTTAAAATGCTTCTTGTCATAGTGTGTAATGTAGGAGATGAGTTATCTTACCACTCCCTCGTCCCCTCCCTTCTTCCCACTCTACACTAAAAAAATTGTTTGTCACTAAATAGGCCTAACCTATGTGTTTGTGTGAAAAGCACACGAGAGTCTACAGTACGGTTAGGTTTATTTAGATAAAATGTTAACCTTTTGAGTTCTCTAATTGCCTATTTTCTTTTATGATTTTCATAATTTTTTACATTAAATCAATATTTTTAGACTGAAAATGAAAGCGAGAACATCTGAAGATTTATTCGTACAATTGTTAATAATTGTGTTAAGTACTTCCTATTCGTAAAATATTTTGATGTTATGTGACTTTATCAATAATTTTTAAGGAGTTTATTCACAATGATAATTGTCTTTATGATCAGAGTCATTCTTATCATATAGGATAAATACATTATTTGTTCACAATTTCTTCAAAAGTGCTGTAGGTGGCTCTCAAGATCAAATCTGAATTAGTATGCTACTATTTAGAATTACTAATATAAAAATGAGACTCATAATTACTTCTCTTAGTTTTTATCATAATAAGTGAAAATGTCATGCTCATTCGTGAACCTTATTTCCCAGAAAAATTGTCCTATTTATTGATTTCTGTAAAAGTGAGCCAAGGTAGCTAGCAACATAAAGATTTAGGGTTCATTATAAACATCTCTGTATATAGGATATTGTAAAGATCAACAAGGGATTCAAACGTGATGTAATCTTCCCGTAAGCTCTGTACATATTGTCTATATGTCAAGGCTTTACAATTTAACCTTTTTGATTTATTTTTGATCCCCAGTTTTATTTTTTTATCCATTTCTTCCAAAAATGTATCTTTAGGAGCAATTGACTTATATAGGCCTACTTGTCTGTTATTTTCGATTTTTCGATAATGAAAATGTTTTTACCTTGTCCTCTATTGATCTATTAGGACAGAAGCGGTAGTTTGGTATATATTTATGTACTTTCTATTTTTTCCCAAACCAAGAATTGTAACTTCTAATGAAATGAACCGAGTATTTCAAACTGTTACATATAAGTAATACAGTATATTGAATTGTTGATTATAAAAAAAGGGTATATTTAGATTGAATAAAATCTCGAATGTTATATACTGTATTTCTATACTAAAACAATAAAAAACCGCAATAAGAAATCGAATTTGTAAATAAATTGAAGATCTATTAATTCTATAGAGTTGGATTAATAAAAGTCAAAAAGGAAAGCGTTTAATTGTTTAAAGAAACTGATTGATTTTAAATAATGTTATTCAAAATAAAACATAAATTTTGTTAAATTTTCAAAAGAAATTTGTATTATTCAAGCGAAAGTCGCCGCGTCAAATTCATAAAAATCACAATGCTTATATTGACTATTGTAAAGACAAAACCAAATCGATTGAAATATTCAATGGAAGAAAAATAGAATTTTTAGCATATAATGCTAATGAATCACGTCACAATTTCAGTAGCGGATGAAATAAGTAAATGATGTTTGTTCCATAAAATTTTCACTATCCTAATTAAAATCATAAGTATGTTTGATCTTTTGTTCATTTATTAACAAACTTATTTTTTAAATATTCATCTAATTCTTTATCAAAATTTCCGTCTAAAATTTTATTTAGATCATCCGATCCTATTACAGATTGACGTCTCATAGAGCTTAGTTTCTTTTTCATACAATCGTTTGAAATTTCCCTCTCAAGTATAAGGAGATCTTCATCGGAAATAGATTGAGAGTTGTTTAATTTGTCGACGATGCTATTTAACTTGTCATTGGATTTAATACCTGTTAAACTATTTTTTTTCTTTCCATTATTTTCTTTATCAATAATTAACGAATCTAATTGATTATCTAACAGTTTTTCAAGAGATTCAATATAAGCTTCAACTTCTTTCGGGCTTTGATCCGTTTCTCTTTGCTCCTTATACACTGGCGTCATATTCTCCTGGTCTTCAGAGGAATATCGTGGCCAAACTTCTAGCGGAGGTGCCTCATTAGACTCTTCGTCAAGACTCTCCATAGCATAGTAGTTTGCCGAATTTTCTTTTCTATTATTCTTAATTCTTTCCGCTAAAGTTAACTTTGGTAGGTCTTTAGGTTTCTTTTTCTTGTGTAATCTCCTCTTCATTTCTCTGGTAGCTTCATTCTCTTGAGTTTCGTATAGAGTGTCAAATCTTCTGTTTAAGGTAACAACCTGTTCTTCAAGAGTTGGAAATGGTGAATGTTTCCTATAAACAACACTTGTATCGCTGCCTCGTCTATCTCTGGGAATTTCGGGAAGTGTCAGAGTAGACGCTCTATCCTTTTCGGTTTCGCTCTTATGTAATTCAATTAAAGCTTTTCTAAGTAAACATTTTTGCCCCAAAGGTATCTGTATAATTAGATTAAAAAAACAACAAATAATATTTTTTCCTTTTGAATAAAGTTCATTTAGTGCACCAAGTGCAGTCGGTACTATAGACAAAAAATCACCTTGATAAGTTCAAGAACATCTGGAGTCAAAGCCAATAGCGACTCTTTCGTATTAAATTCCTCTTCAAATAAAGTATTAGCTGTCCGTTCGGAGATCTCAGTTCTTTTACAAAATTCAAAAACAAAAAACTTGGCTCTACTTCTATTCGACATCGTTCAAAGTTCGGAAAATAACTGAGACAAACATTGAATCACCGCATTATTTATACACTTGACGGTAACTCTAATCAATATAAGGTGATCAATAATAAAAGGGAAAAACTTATGTTTTTTATCCGAATGAGTACTTATCATCTATCTTTCCCTTTTCAGACTAGTTGCCTATGATTAATAATTAATTTTTATAAGTAATAGCGTTACTTAAATTTTTAAAATATTCTCTTATTTAGAGTACTTAACCATTTTATCGGATCATCAAGTGCTTAGCAATCGGGATTTTGCAATAGAATCGACGTTTATAGTGATCCAATTCTTCTTTATTCTATAACAGATTTATAGCAAAGTCATATGATTGCCGTAACAACGATTGAATACCTTAATTGGATTCATTCATTTTTTAGAGGTAAGACCACATTTAATTTATTTTATTATCATAAAGTAGTACACACACCCACACACATGTATAGTATTTACATACTTCAGTATATCATTCATATTGATGACATACTGCATTTTTACGGTATACTCTGATATTTATTTAAAACTCAAGATGAAGGTCTATTCATCTGAACCAAAACATTTTTCAAGGTGCTAGTGACGACGGAGGATGATTGACATGAATAAACAATAATTTAACATAATGAGTATTGATATTCTCTTTCTTATTTTTCGAGACCAGACGACGACAGTTCAATACTTTTGCTTGAATATCTCAAACTTTCATTATTTAAGGATTCTCTCTTCCCGCAACAAGTAAATATTTTGATGAAAAGTGTTAGATAGGCCTTTCTGAATCTATGATGAGCAGCGTAAAGAATAGGATTTAAGCTGCTATTTAAATGATAAAAAGCTGTGGCCATTAAGTAATAAGGTCTGCTCCAGCTTCTGTCTTTGTCAAACGTATAACCAGATGATAATGGAACAAGACAGATAAAGAGTACAACTGATACAATGGACAAAGTTTTAGCCAGTTGGATTTCTTCTTTAAGTTGATTATCTTTATTGTTATTTGATATTTTACGCAAACTCTTCTTTATTGAATGAACGTATCCAAAAATCAAAACATTAAAAAGAGCAACTACCGATATAGGTATCCAAATAGAAAATATAGATATCCATAGAGAAGTAAATGTATCTGACTTTCCACTAAAGACGCATAATGAAAGAACATAATCATAGCCAACTGAACCGCGACCAGATATATATGGTACTAAGCGCAATGAGCCATACAACCATATAAAGATAATTGCAGCTGTCGTTCCTCTTCGATTAAAAATTCTCGGATATAATTGAGGTTTCGTTATGCACAGCCACCTGTGAAGGAAAGTACATTTCATTAATTAATTTACTATACATTATTATATACAGCTATATTCTTTACTTGCCTGTTAAATGAAATTACTGTTAAAGCTCCGGGACTGGCGCAGCAACAGAATGCACAAATCAGTCCAAAGACCTTACAGATAGCTTTCCAATTTCCACGGGCATAGAATTCTTCGCCTCTCCACAACATCCCAGACATTGCAGTAAATTGTACTACTGTTGAAATACCAAAATCAAAAATTGCTAATTGAACAACCAACATATTTGCAGACGACCATAGAGACCTTTGAGTCAAAACCGAAAAAATTACCAAAAGATTACCAAATGTTCCAAAAAATACTGATAAAAGTTCTATAAACCAGGAAAGGACAACCAGAGTATCTTCTCCAGATAAAGTAAGATCACTCCAAGAAAAGCTGCCATTCCCAAGCCCCATTTTTGATAGATATACTTCTTAAAACTTTTATTAAAATCAATTAAACAGAAATAATATAATGGGCAAAATAAGGACTCTGTTCGACTGTTAAGAGGTCTATCTGCCTTATATATAGTTTCATGAATTTCCCATAATTTAATTCCATAAGAATTCTTTAAAATTAGCCAAATCAACTGTTTCTTTTAGTTTTCTTTTTAAAATTAATAAAAATAATTCTTTTTCATTAAACAAAACTAAAAATTCGCACTTGAAATAATTAAAAATAATGAATAAATCTTTTAATTGTTCTTCTTTGAATATAAAGAAACTTTTATATCCAATTTAACTTTTTATTTTTTGAAACAAATTAGATGAATAAGAGAAATTTAAGAAAAGCAAAAGACTAGAATAGAAACAGAGAGATTCGTTGTTTAAAAATTAAATCAAAAAAGACAAAAGAAGTTTAAGTACTCCAACTAGTTTTAATGCTAAAAAGGAATTATTAATAATTTATAAAATAATGGAAATTACTTGATCAAGTGCACTTTCCTTGATTTTTTTAATGATTTTAAAGAAATTATAATAATAGTTTAAAAGTAAATTGAATATGATATTTGCTTTTGTAAAGAATTAGGATATGACTGTATAGTATGAATTTTTTATTAGTAGAATTTAGTATGGTAAATCTGGTCAGAGGAAAGTAAGATGAGGTGAACAAGAAGAAGAAAAGAGGGTGGAGGAGGAGGAGGAGGAGGAGGGAAAAAATCACTAATACTGTAACTTTATGCTTTAACCGTTAAATGTTAAATAAATAAAAATATTGAATATGCGTAGGAGAAGGTAGAAAAATTAAATAAACAGAAATTATTATAGATATATAAAAATAGAAAATGGTTAAAGTGATACACTACGCCAAAAGTTATTAATTGTTTAATATACCATATAAGGAAAAAAATAATGGATTGTTTTATCTTTTATTCTGAATAGTTGCTTCAAGTTTGCATATAATGCAATCTTTCTTAAATAAATATTAAAAAATATGAAGAATTTTAGATGTTTTTCTTTTTTTATGAAAGGGGTATTTTTGTTAAAAGCGTCTAAAGTTCTTATCCAATTTCAAAAACAAGATAAGTTGCTATAAACATCTTTTCAAAAGCTGATAAAAGAAGGAATACCTAGTTTTATAACTGATGCAACAAAAACATGTAAAAGTGGCAAACCACTCGTCTTATGAAAAAGAGAAAGTAGTATTAATGTTAAAAATATGAAAGTATAACTTTGCCTTTTCAATTTTTAAGTTTTAGATAGAAATACACTTTCCTCTAATTGGAGTCGATAATTTCGTAATTAACCTTTAAAGGTTAAAAACATAGAGATATAAATATAGAAAAGTATGTTATTTTACATTAGCGACACGTGCAATAAATTTATTTTGTTTTTTAAATTAATAAGTTATTAATCAATTTCTTGATTTTTCGATCCTTTTATGTAAATATAATATTTATCTTCCTTAGCTTTCATCTAGACTTTCACTTTCTAATAAAAATATCCTCCTTTCATAATAAGTATATATTTTGTTACGCAGTGTTAAATATGCTTTCCTGAATCTGTTATGAGCTTCATGCTAAAGAGGACCTAAGCTTATATCTAAGCGATAAAGGCTGAAGCTCTACCATAAATGTGGTCTTGTCCAATTTCTAGCTTCGTCTAAAGAATAATCTAATAATAATAGAGTTTAGCAAACAAAACAAGACAACCGATACATTAGATAATATTTTGGCCTATTAAATTTCCTCCTCAAGTTGTTTATCCTATTGTAATATTTCGCGTCGACTAGTGTTTATTGACTAATCAAGCAAAAGATCAAGACTTTGAAACGAGAAGCAAATCAGTATGAAGCATAGATGCGTTCATCTACGAGAAATGTATAAAATAATATGGCATAGAAGTCATTTGTCTTATCAACACATCTATAATGTAGCCATTAAGAGAATAGTCTTAAATGAACACAAAACCAATGTTAAAAACAAATAAAATACCGTTCTTTTTTGTATTAAGGAGCTTAGTGTATTATCCAGCTTTTATTATACATAACCACTCTATAAGTAAATTATTTACAGTTTATAAGAATAAAAATTTTCTATTATATTTGTCTATTAAATTATAATATGGCCATAGCACTGGAATACAAACTACAACTTAAATCATATATTTTACAGATTTATTACCAGTTTGCTCTATTAAGTGTCTTCTGTTCTCTTCATAACATTCCAGACATTGCAGTAAATTGTGAACTTGACCGTTATTTTAAAAATGAGAATGTATATGATATGTTTCTATATTTTTATGAATAGTGTCCTTGTTTAATAAAGAAAATGAACTAATCAGGATAGTTATCTAGTTAACGGTATCTTTTTAATCCGTGGACAATAACGAAAATACATTTTCTCTATGAAATCCTTTAATTTATCCATGAAATAATTGTTTAATATTAGAAAGCTATTTGACAAACTTTCCTTTAGTATCTTTTCTCGTAAATAATTAATGTTTTCTCTCTTTTTTCCTGTTTCTTTCTTTATCTTTCTCTCTGTCCTTCCCTCTCTCATTAGTAAGATATTTACAGTTGTTTAATTAAAAATAATACTAGTTTGACAAGTCATTATGTTTAGTAACAACAAATGAAGATGTTTGTAGGAGAAATTAGATTACGAATGTCTTAAACGTGTAGATTGCAACGATTCGTAGACTATAACAAATCACTTATGAAAATAGAAAACTATATATATTTCAATTACATTACTCTTTATAGGCTCTTTAAAAACAGTGTCACAGTATGCTTTTTACTTCTATATTTAAATGACAATTACTTTTAATAGATAATCTCTTCATAAATAGAGGCATTTTATATGGAATAAACTTCGATAGACAATTAATTATAATTCTTTTAAAATAGTTGAAATATCGACCACCGACTTTTTTTACTTAGATAATTTATATTTAAAACTTTATTTGGAAAAAAATTCAATATTCTCAGTCTATACTTTTCTACCAAACGTTTTAATGTTATATTGTCGATTGTTTCTATATTCTAACTTATCATGTTGCTCATATCTTTTTCCTTTCCACAAGTTGAGTTTATTAAACTGACTGACTAAGTCATCTTACTTAAGGAATGAACAAGAAAAAGTTTATATTTTCTATATAGAAGCTATTCACTTACAAAGCTCAGCATTTCGAATCTTGACATCAAATTTGGACATTATATTAATACGTGCTTGTCCAAAATCTTACAATGAAATTAATAGATTGATAGGATTGTAGATAATCCTGCTAGTTTAAGAAATTTACAAGCTTTCTTTAGATTTCTAAGAAAAGTTTTCCATCCTTATCGACTTCCGTAACAAGTAAATAGTCAAACAAACTAGACTGTTGTTTACTTGTTTTTTAATCGATAAATGAAGAGTAGCTTAATGATTTAAATCTCTGTTTACTATCATACATTGTAAACCTCAAAATAGAAAAATGATAGGAGTCATTAATTATCTTTAATTATCTCAGAAAGAAAAAATATTCTAATACTGCACAAGATCTATACAATTCTAATATTAAATGTGTTTATTAATAGAAAGGATATTTATCTTTTTTTCGGGTTACATTTGACAAACTGTGTTTGATGAAATTGATGAAAAAAGAAACTATAAATATTATCACTATCCTGAGATCTAATTCGTTAATAAAAGATCACAAAATTGATTCTTAAACAATACAAATTTTATGAAATTTGTTAATGAATTAATCAGTCTAAAAGAAATCTATTTTATTTGACTTAAGAATAAAAATTCCAGAATATTCATAAACTGTACAAACATATAACTTTTCTTTTAGTATGAATTATTCATTTTTCGTAACATTAGCAATAAAATAAAACAATTTACTTAATTAATCATTATTTCTTTTGTTTTTAATGACAGATATGAAAGTTTTAAAAAGAGAAATTTCCCATCAAGAAAATATGTGTCTAATAAAAGGAAAAGGTTATGTTATTGCGTCTTCATTCTTTATCAAATTTCCATTTTTTTCCAACTTCACCCTCATCCTTTGCTATAATATTACATTTAATTAATTAACATATTCTACTATGTTCTACTCAGAGCTACTTAACGTAATTTCAATAAAATCAAACATTTTAAACTTTTTTCAACTTGTTCAATTGATCAGTATGAAAATAAAATAAATCATTAATTCTGTTATTGTTTTGTTTTTTTAAAAAAAAAAATAAGACATTTCCTTTTTACTTCCTAGAAAAAAATTTATTGAATTGCTTTTGAAACAAGCTGTTGTAATTATTATTTTTGAAAAAAAAACTAAATTAAGTCTCTCCAGTTTTTTAGTTTCTAATTATTGACTAGATCATAATTGAACTTGTTTCGATTACTCAATTGATTAGTAGTTGATCAATACAGTTATAGTAGGCTAAAATACTGGCCTTATAATATTCATTAGTGATTTAAAAGATAGTCATTTAAGTAGAAAGCAACTTATTGTGGGATATTTTGAAAATTAAAAAAGTTAAATACAGATATAAAGGGAATGCAATGATTATAATTATATTTTCAAATTAAAGGAAAAAATGTACTATTTTGGAAATGTATACATATTTACTATAAATTTGGATCGAATATTATCAATTTAACGACAATGATATTTGTGTTATGTAAAATATAAAGGTATGCCATAAAATCTTTTCATTATATAGTTGAATATTTTTTTTTGTAGGCCTAATCAAATGAACGTCATTGTTTTCTATAAGACTTTTATTTCATAGTGATAATACAACGACAAAACAAAAAATAATAATCACTGAGATACAACTTTTCTGCTGCTGTTATAAATAGTATTACTAATGAATGAACATTATTTAATGTAAGAATAGGCATATTGTTTCTTGTAATAAAGAGAGAGAAAGAGAGATTCATTGGAAAAAATTCGCGCTATTCTCTCAAATATTCTACCTTAGATAACCTTTGTTAATGATTCATCTTCAGTAAATTAAATAGAGTATGATATAAAAATTTCTTCCTCATATTACAGGGAAAAATTGAATTTCTTTGCTACATCTATTAGCCTAAAAGACTATTTAGGAAGATTTTTGTGGCATAAGTATATATTTAATGCGTAGACATACTGCATATGAATAAATTTAGGATAAAATCTTTAATAAGAAGATCAAAATCTGAAGAAAAAAATTATATGCAATATTCATGAATAAATAGGTCAACATGGATTAATTTAAAATGCAGAAAACATGCTTTTAAACTTTGTATAACTTCAAATATGTACCAACAATGCATACTGCATATACATTATATAGATATATATAATACGTATTAAATTTAACAGCTTTTAATTGATTTTTTTTTATAGAAAGTATAACCTTGTCAATTTAGACTAATTTTATTCATTCAAAAAGTAACAAATACAATGTTAAAAATATTTATTCTTCTCTTAAATCAATGTTTTCTTTTATATAATGAAAACTGGAACATACCTTATCTCTCTTATAGTCCAACATTTCTCTTTCTTTAAAGATTCTAGATTAAAATCATTAAGGTGGAAAAAAGTGGAGGCGGATAAGAGAATGGGGAAAATTATATGATTAAAACTTTAAAAAAGTTTATCGCTGATATTGTAAAACTCCCTTCTTCTCTTGTTATTAATATTCTTATTCTCTCATTTTCTTCTTTTTTTTTTGTTAAAGTTGCACAAAAAAAAGAAGCATATTTTTTTAATTGATCTTTTCAGCCTGTTCATACTTTTCCGATTTTACAGAATACCGTTTACAGGATAAATGAAAAAAATTATAGGCTTAGTTATGAAGAGTATATACACCGTAATATTTTAATATCGATTATATATAACATCTGTTATAAAAAAATTGTTAATTTTTCTCATTATAAATGAAATACATGAGGTTAAAACATATAATAAAGTTATTATTTCAATGAAATTTTTTAAGTATGACTGATTTTAGTGAAGATGGTTTTGATAACAGATCTGTTTCGGCCGAATCGGCATCGTCTTCCGAACAAGAAACAAAGGATGGAATTGTTTTACCTATATATCCTTCATTCCAAGAGGAGAATACTAATAATGGAACTCGTATAATATATCCATACGAAATTAATGATAGTCAAGCTCACCTACAATCATTAGAAGGTCTACCTTGTTCTGAAAATTACAGTGATGTTACTCTTATTGTTGGTAGTAGAACTTTTTCAGCTCATAAAGTATTTTTAGGCCTTAAAAGCGATGTATTCCAAACTATGCTTACATCAAAAAAATGGAAAGATTCAGAGAAGACGGAGGTCTCCTTGCACGAAACTGTTGAATGCGAGCATGTTTTTCATTTATTCTTGAAATACTTTTATACAACAAAATTAACACTATGTTTAGATAATGTTAAAGCTTTACATATCCTGGCCGACAAGTATAATGTTTCGGAAATGCAGAAACAATGCACGCAATATATGATTGAACATATACCAGTTGAATGCTGTATTAACAAAACTGTTGAATGGCTTGAATACGCCCAATCCTGTCAACATAGCGAATTAGAGAATAAATGTATGCAATTCATTTGCTCTAACATAGATATTGTTATATCTTCGTCCGCTTGGCTACAATTAAGCAAAGAAAATATGAGAGTTGTACTCTCCAATTCAGATTTGATATTGAAGAATGAATATATTCTATTACAAGCCTTGCTACGTTGGATCGATCACAAAGATTTCGAAGAGAGAGAGGCTCTTTTTGCTCAATATATATCTCTCATAAGATTTCCGTTAATCCTCCCTAAACATTTAATGGAATTTGAAAGAGAATTTATGAATTATGATGGTATTACTCAAGATAATTCAGGTTTAATGCAACAAGAAATTATCAAGGCCTACAGGCATCATGCAATACCTTTTTTTGAGAGACCAAGTTTCTATTGTTGTAACTCATCTGATTATACACCAAGAATTTACACTCATTCACAATTTTGTCACGAATTTAAAATAGATTTTAGAGTTGTAAAAAAGGGTCATAGAGCATCTTGCGAATTCAAAACAGGTTAATATATAAATTCATAAACGTAGATAATAACTGTATATGTTTTTTTTTTGAGAAATCCATCTAATATCTAGCTTCCTCTTTCTTTATATAGAAACATAAATTTATTCATCTATAAAATAAATGTATATTAAATAAAAATATATCTATATTCATTCTAATTCTTTTCATATTATTCATAGGTTTGTCAAGTTCCTATGCGGACAGAAACCACTTCTTATGGAAGGCTATTTTTGAGTGCAGGAATCCCCCAGATAGCCACGGTAGGCACTTTAGAAACTTAAGCAGGAATAATTTAACTGAGAAGGATACCAACTCTCAAAGCTATTCTTTCCGTTTAAAATTACAAAATTCAACTGCAGATGGAGCAACCTGCTTTGTCGATTTATCAATCAGACGTCAACAAAATAACGTCTCTTTTATAAATCCTAATTTAAACATTTGCAAACATTTTTCAACAACTGATTGTGAGATAGTACTTGACAAATTTATTGACAAAGACGAGTTATTTTGGAGTGAAACCGCCTTTAGTGGATTTGGAATTGTTAAGAATTGTGTTACTCTCTATATAACGATAAGACCTGTAATATGATAAAATTTCGTTATATAACATTATCTTTATCATCATTTTTTATCGCATGTCTCTTTAATTTTATCGTTAGTTTCATAATCAAACAAAAAAACATTAAACAGAAAAAGTTTCTACCTTTTTTCTTTACCTATAGTTCATAAACTAGGGTATACAGCATGAGAAAAAGTAATAAATGACCTCATTTCTCTTTTGCTTTTTCTCCCTTTATAGCTAAAGACGTCATTTTCTGCTTAAATTATATTTTAAATACAAGAGCCGATAAAACCACCTTTTTCTCCTCTTTACATCTTTAAACATCTCTTCTCTTTGATTGATCAGGCCAATAAAGCCAGTAAATGAGCGGAAAGAGAGGTAGAGCTCTAAACGGGACAAACCACTTAATATAAAAGGTCTTTACAGAAGAAAAGGGCTTTAAAATTAGAGTATTTTACCCTCGATTATTAGTTAGTTTGGGAAGGTTAATAGTGAAAATTGAGATCTTCAATAATGAAAATTGTTTTGTAAGTGAGTTACAAGACTATTTTTTAAAAAATGATTAGACTTGAGAGGAAGTTCTTTGTTTTGTGCAATATAAAAGGATTTATAAGAAACAGCATATAGTACGCATGTCATGCATATATTGCGAAATAAGCACAAGAAAAAGTTGTTTAATCGGACAAAAAATACAAATGAGATTAATAAAAAACTATCTAATTATAAGAAAAAAAATAGAGGAAAAAGCCCATAAAAAAATAGTAATCATCTGCTCTATTTCCTTCATAGTCGTATTGGTGAAGCGATGCTCTCAATTAGAAACATTACTATACTGAGAGAAGTGTTTCGGGGAAAATTTACTTTATTCTTTAAAGGGTTGTATCTGTTGCATGTTAAGTTACGTGAGTTACATATATCTATAGATTAAAATACTATATAAAGCATCAATTTAGCATAGCTTCCACCAATATTCCTTTCTAGATTTCAGTTATTGATCTTCCTATGAATGGAATGGCAAAGACGAATAGATCTAAAGAAGTCTGTCCTTTAGAGTACTTTTTTTTAGAAATGATATATCAAATAAATAATTAATTACCTATATTAATACTATATATTTATATATATATATATATACAGTATATATATAGATTAATATATGGTTCACCCAATGATATACTTACCTATTGCAAGTAATTACATTTTGTATAGAGCCTTTCCGAATGAAAGTTAAAATTGCTCCGTTACTGATAAAGATAGGCTCGACAACTTTTATCTTTATTGTTTATATAGAAAGGCAATTTTTTAGCACAACATTATTCTGAAATTTGTGATAGAACTCATGATAAAAAACGCCTGACACCTGTACATTTCGCACCTTTCATTAGCATCTATATGGTAAACTGGGCAAGAAGTTTATACCATTTTAAGAAGACTTTCAAACATGAAAGGTATTCAGGTCTCAATTTTTTTCGGCTTCATTCTCTTTGCTTCTGGACAGAGATTTATAATTAAAGACAATAATGGGGTAAAGAATATTTTAATTTACTAAAAAGTAAAAAAAGAAAACTTTTATCCTAAACGCGTTTCTTTTTTTTTTTACTACATTTTTCAAATCAGCTGCCAACACTAGCCGTTGATTTATTAAGTACAGCAAATAAACTTTACGCTGATGAATGCAATAATGGCGATTATGAGGTATTAAAATGGTCACTTTTTCTATTTAAGCATCACCAAATGTATCATTTCTCTTTTTCTTTATAAAACATTTATACTTGTTAAAAGTTATCCATATGGGAGACTAATGTAACTCTGCCCGAATATATAGTTGGACAAAGAGCTCAAGATGATTTAGGTCCAATGAGAGGCTATATTCCACATGTTCAAGATATCACCAGTAAGTACTGTATATTTAAAAGAAAAACGATTGTAAAAATGAGAGCAAAAATATGAACGATCTATTTTTATAACAAAGAATATTCTCTAAATTCCTTTTCTGTTTCTTTTTAAAAAGGAAATGCAAGTAATATTGCTTTAGTTGAGCCAGAAAGTTTCTTAGAATTATGGAACAATACTGGTAGCTCTAGTTGCACTAGATTCTCTGTTTGGCGTCTAAACTGCCCTAATGGTAAAGTAGATCAATTTCAATGAATAAAAGAAATTTAACAAAAATTTATTGTTATGATATTTTTTCTTCTTGCAAATAATTAGGATTTCGGGCACTCGGCGACATTGCAACCTTCTGTGAGCCTAATGAGCCATGTACCTTACCAGCACCGGACAGTTATAAAAGTAAATTAAGGTGTGTTAGACAAGATCTGTTAGAAACCTGCAGCTTTGATGATGATGATATTTGGAGTACTGATGGTAAGATTATTGTCTAAATTTACATGTTTTTTCCTGTAATTTTCAAAAAGATATAATTATATTCATTTTTCTTTTTGCTTTAAATAGGAGACTCAGTTGCTACACCTGCTTCCCTCTGGCGTACATCGGGCGACCTGGGTATTGGTGGTTTATATCATATGAATGAGAAGTCAGCTACTGAAAAACCTCTAAACGGAGTTTGTTACTGTTTGAAAAGATTAGATCCCGAAATAGTTTAATCAAAGTCTACAAGTTAACTTGTACTTAAAAAAAAGGAAAAATGTTAAACTGAGATAAAAATTCCGTTCATTTCTCCAATAAATGAAATTCCTACCGTGTATATCAAGTATATTGAAATAGAAACGATAATGTCTTGAAACTCTATAGAAAACTCATCATTTATTGCTTTTAAAACAAGAAAAATTAGATTAGATAATTATAGTTTAAATTGTAGCAATTCTATTTATGGATGTATCTAGATTGAACTAGCATGTTAAGTCCTACTTTCTTCTTTACAGATAATCAATTATAATTAAATTATCATTTTTATTACCCGATTAATTAGTAAATACGGCTGTTAACTTAATGTTTTATTAGCGGTTTTTTTGACATACTATTGATGTTTGATATCATTAAATAGAATAGGAATTTTTCAAATATCATAGTCCTAAATCTTTATCCTAAAAATGCTGGCCAAAGTCTATTTATTATGTAGATTTATATTCTTTATTATGTTACTTTCATTAACTTTGCATAAGCTACAAACGAAAAAACTTGTACGAACCTGGATAACTAAAATATTCTTCTTTTACTTCTCCTTCAACAGTTTATAGTGTGAAAACATTTTATTACATTAAATATCTCCCTTCCTCTCCTGGAAGAAAAATAATGTATGTTGTAATTATTGAGATTCTTGAAATTCTTTTCTATTTATATGCTTTGAATGCATACAAATAAAACAACAAAAATAAGAATATTTTGTCGATAGTTTTGCTTTAGTTTTTAAAAAGCTAATCGAAAAAAACAATCGACTGCAAAGTAAAAAAAATGATTTCAAAAGAGAAAGTACATTATAAAAAATAAACTATTACTAAATAATCAGACATTATGATCACTTTTTCAAACTGTATATTCATTTTTACATCAACTTAAAAGATGAGCTGATCCAACCTAAGTACATGATGATTCATATAAGCTTTTACAAATGAAAACGCTTAAATATATAAATTCCTATATAATTGCAAATCGTACTGGAGAAAGATAAGTATATTTTTTTTATTTGCATAAAACTCTAGTCTGCCTTCAAAAGTTGTATATAGAACCTTCCTGCTGAAAAGGTAGCATGATTATTAAGTAACGTAAAATTTCAAATGTATATTTTTAGCTTAACAGATTAACTATTCTTTTCAATTTTCATATAAAAGAATCAAATTAAGAAGATCATAAAATGTCTAAAGTGTCCCTTTACGAGCCCATACTATTTATATATATATATATATATATGTAGCCTTATTATTCTTTACTTGAATACTTTTACTTATATCAACTTTTAAATTTTACTCTTTGCTGTACATATAAAAAACTACTAATTCCAGATTATTGACCTTTTACATAAAAACACATGTTAATAGTATTTTCTATTATTTTTTATACATTCTGTAATTTATAAATCTATATTTAATTAGCATCTATACAACTATAAAATGTTTTCTGATATTTAATATTATTAGTTTATTATACCATATTTTCATTTTATTTTTATCCTCCATTGTTCTAATAAATACAATATAATAGTAGTTTTTCTTTTTTTTAAATATTCTTTTAATGTATGAATTAATTGATTTTAAATGTAATTTTTTACAATCAGTTTTACAATTTAATTCCAGGTTTAATAACATTTTTACGACTTAATGAGAAATCTAGCAATCTAAACTCTTTTTAAGATAAAAAAAACCTCACTTTTTTGTTTTGTTTGCAACGTCTAGACCATTTAAGGATTTTATTTTTAGCTATTTTTACGCAGAGAGATTAAAAATATCATTTTTATCGAAAATTTTTTCATATTGATTGTTTGTAGTGTATATTTCATTCTATTTCCATCTCTTATATATTGTATATATTTTGATATAAACTGCTATAAATACCCTTACTGGATGAAAATTAATTTTGAAATAAAACAAAAATAAATTGTATATACTTCTTAAATGCGTGAGATTTGTTTATCTATTATATTTTACCATTCTTCAGTATTTATTTTTATCCATTGAATATTATAAAAAGGGAAAAAATAGCTACTTTAAATTTATTGATAAAAGGTATTATATGAATACAGGCAAACAAAAATTATTATTAAAAATGAAAAGGGAGAATAAATTACATTATCTAAATTGATAAAAGCTGTTATCGTTTATTGAGTTCTTTTACAATTTCTACTTACCCTTTGTTTTTAAATCTTTCGTTTTTCCATAATAAAAGCTTAGCTAACTTTTTCTGTTTTCATTATTTCTTTTCCTTGTCTTATTAATAGGATTTGATTAGTTAGAAAATTGTGAAAGGTTTCTTCTACAAAGGAGATAGATGCATTTTACTTAAATATACATACATGCTGTATATACCGTATATTAGTACCCGAAAGTAGATGCTACACTATATAAAGACGCATATCTCTGCTCCCCTATACCTTATCAACCAAAAGCTACAAAATATTACCAATTTTGTTAATATATTTATTAACATTCTTTCTCGCAAAAACAGATATTTTTTTCTCATATCATTTAAGAAATAAAAAATTTTTTAATATAGTAGGCCTATTTGTTTTCGCCTTAATTAGTTCCTGCATAGACAGAATTTGTTCCATATCATAACTAATTCTAGTTCAATTGTATATGGGTAAGTGTGCACTAAAGAGTATTCCTTGATAATTTTTGTGCAGAAAAAACAAAATGGGAAATCGAAAAATAGAATAGAGTAGTATTTTGGCGTAGATTTTACTTACATCCAAGGAGAGAGTTTGTAAGGAGGTCGCTAGGACAAAGAAATAATCTTACGTATATCACGAATATCATATTAAAATCGGTGAAGGAAGTATCGTGGTGTTGGGGCTTATATCGGATCCAGGCGAGGAAAAGGCCTATCAAGAGTTAATAATCAAATGATAGGTGGTGATTATATTAAATCAAAATTTGTTTGGGAATTGTATAAAAGCTGAAATCTTTTGGTAAGACGGAGCCAATTATCATGTCTTTAAAAAAAACTTTGGAAAGAAATTTTAAAAGGGTAATCGTTACCTTTTTTCCATTGAAACCTTAACATTCTATATATAGAGAATCATAATGATACAAGAAAACAGTATATGCTCTCTACTTGTCTTTCTAGAAATTTTACCATCTCTTATTAGAAAATATAATTACTTTATGTGGATTTTAATAAGCAGAAAAACAACAACATTTTTATAAAATTTGATCTTTTGCGAATGTAATGTAGTAAATATATACAGTATCTATCTATATATATATATATATATATATATGCGTATGTCTTTGTTTTCTTTTTTGCTTATTTATAAATGTCTGTTGCTATATGCTACACTAGAAAAGTGAAAAAAAGGGGAAAAAGCAAACCATAAATATTTAAATGTATTATACTAAATTATATTATACAAAATTATAGTCGATTTCTCAGTATAAAATTTAATAAAAATTGGTTAATATTAAATTGCTAAGAGAATTATAAAGAACACCGTTTAAATACTAAAAATAAGATTACTTTATGGTCCTTTTTTTTTCATCAATAAAACTTTTCATTCTATTTATTTAAAAAATTAGAATTAATTGTTCTTCTCTAAAAAGGCTCTAATGAATTTTTTATTATCTTGTTTTTATACTTTTTGTTATATACGATAAAGGTAATGAACAACTCAGGAATTAATAAAATATTTTACTGTAATACTTCTTTCTAACTTTCCTAAACTGAATACAGATTAAATTACTTTTTAAGTATATTTCATATTCTTTGTTTCATTAATTCGATATTTTACTATATGAAGAGAAAAATAACAACACTTTTTTACGAAATAAAACTGTAAAAATCTTATTACCATTAATTGTTTTAAACTAAAAAAATTTTAGAAAAGGGATAGAAAGAAAAAGACATGGAGGAGAAGGGAGAAAACATAGAAAAGAAACAGACAATAAGTACGCAAGTGCAATCAGAAAGTTATTCATTTATAATTAGTGAGCTTCTTATTTCCTTGCAGAATTATTACATAATGAAACTTATCTAACAGTATTATCAGTCATCTAAATCCTTTATGAAAAGCATACCTGACGTAACTGATTAATAGAGATAAAGATGACACTAAACGTATCTCTCCTCGGATATACTATGTATATTATTTTTATCATATTGTATATATAAAAGTGTTGTATAAAAACATGAATATATTAAACAATATTGTAAAACAGTAAGGTTTTCATGTTGAAATTTAACAAAAACCTGCGTTAATGACCATATGTTATATACAGTATAATGATCTACCGATTTTCATTTAGATAGAAAAGAATAAAAACCATTGAAATAAATATATATTGAATGAAATTAGAAACATCTTTTCCACACAAAAGTTACTGGAAGAAGTCAATTTGCATAATTACTAAGAAAAATATTTATATTTTATCATTAATTATCCAGCTATAACTATGAGAATTTCCAGGCAACGAAAGGACAAAAATGAAAACAGGTAATATCTTGAATAAATTATTATTAATCTAACGCCGATAGTATACCCCCTAGTGAGAGGACACCATAGTAGTTTAGATCTACATTTGTTAGTTTCCTTCTTCCATGAGGACTTGACTAACTTTTTCCACAGCTCATCGTCACTTAACTTAGGTATTATATTTACAAATATAGCATTTTAATTTCTCTATTATATTATATTCATCTATCTATTGGCATTTTAATATTTTAAAAATTATATTTATTTATATTAATATGTACGTTATAATTTACAATTTATATAGCATGAAATGTCATTTATACGTTTATTGTATGTTTATTTATAAGTATTCTGTTTATTTCTTTATCTTGTTTATTACTAGTTTTCTTATTAAGCCTTTCATCCTTTCAATATACTAATTTTGATGTAAATTAATTCTTTTTCATCTTTAACAGCTGATTTTATAAATAGTTTAACGGATACATTAGCCGGTAATTTCTAAATGTTTACTCCCCGATAATTGTTTCTTATCCTTCTGCCTAGTAGCAATTTTTAGATAGGGCATCAAAGCAAAGAACACCGTAACTAATTTCTTCCTTATATTAGTTCGAGAGATTATTACTAATTTTTCGTTTAGTTTAAGTGTTGGAACCTCTCTGTAATTGAAATTATCTCTTGTTCTGTTAAAAAACCTTTGAAACAACTCAAAACAAATATAAATAAAAGGAAAAGATTGTAAAATAGAGTGATTATAAAGAGTTCTGCTTATTCGCTACGATTTCTTTCTTCTCTTTTCCTCCTCTACACCTCGTTCTTCACCTTTTCCTATTGGCGTTTGCTTTTTTTCTCAGTGTTTTAAATATACGTTTAAAAGATGTGTAGTCTTATAGGGAAAGAAAGTAACTCTTTTTTCTTAGCCTTTTAAAGCTAATTTATGTTTATTCTTCTTTTATTTTTTTACTTCTTCTCTTATTTACATAGATTCTCAGAAAGAATTTGCCGGTCGGATGAATTAAGTTATAGTGAAGAAGAGTGATGACCGTAAAATTCCAATTTTCCTGAGCTTTAATTACACCAAATTCTTTGAAGTAAATTTCAGAATAACCAAAAAAAGAAAACGTATGTATTCAGATCTTAAAATTATCAATAAAGTTTAATATGATATATCCTACCTTCTTTTCTTTGATATGATGTATTAGTTTTGTGTTCAATCGCT